AACTACATCATCACTCATAATTGTAGCACCATTTTTTCATATAAAATTGAAGTGCTGGATCATTAGCTCGTCTACAAAGACCCGTATACGTTTTCCCTGGTGGATAAACACTAATCAGATATCGAAGTAATAGTGCACCAAATCCTTTTCGTTTCAAACTAGCATGAGCAGCGACCTGTGAAACGTAAACTGTGTTCGTATTATTTTCTTCTTTAATTTGCATGAAACCAATAATATCGGATGGGGCTGAACCTGTCGTTAAAAGAAACACTCGACATTGTTTCGTAATCATTTCTTCTTGCATTTCATTGAATGTTTCGTCTAACCAATCACGTAATGAAATATCGGGACGAAGTTGCAATTTTGGTTCAATCAGTTTATAAAAATCATCGAAAGATTCGATAAATAGACTTCGTAAGACCGGTAATTCCATATCTCGTTCAGATCTAGCAACATATTCTTTCACCATTGTTTTACTTTTCAAAGCATTCAATGATTCTGGGTCTAGAAAAAGAAACCATCAAGTTTTGATAACATCAACTTTTCTTCAGAATATAATCGGGTCTTTGTTGGTTATATAGGATTCAAAAGTATACCTGTTGCGAAACGTGACGATGTTGCTTCATCCTGTTTATCACCATATTTTGGAAAACGATTGTCAGAATCAGCACCTGACCCGTTTTGATTGTTTGTCAAACGCGATGAATCAGTTTGAAACCGTGTTGTTTCTCGTTGTTGACGAGGCGGGCTACTGTTCAACTGATCACCACTCATTATTGGACGTATTCTTTAATCTGAAAACAAAGTTTATGTATGAGAGTTGTTGTTAGCTTCATTTCCTTTTTCAATGCCTGACAAGGTCTAGTCTCATATAATATTCATGGGCTATTGATATAAGCTTTATTCTGTCAGAATAGAAATAGAAAAATATTCCATTATATTATTCTAAACTAAAACTATCTAAAACACAAAATCAACTCAGGACCTGTTGATCCGAAGCAGAATTTCATTTCAATTTGTTTCAAAAATTTGGACTTACAAAGAAGTGCCATAATCTATAACAAAAAACCTAAGTCGATTTTTATAGAATTAATTTCACTAGTGACTAATTTCACTCGCTTCTGATAAAGTCGATGGGTTAAGGATACCCCCCTCTTTTTGGAGTCCTGTGAAATAAAAACTAAAAGTCGCTAGGGCTTCGTATTTTCAGAACTGATTGGAAACTCAATAGAGCACTTTTGCGTTTTTGTTTCAAGTTTTCAACTATTGCCGTTCACCAGTTTTTTAGAAAACTCGGTTTTTGATTGTGTCACATTACGACACCCCTTGAGTTTCATCCGATCGGGTTTAAAATTTTATCTGAGGTACTCCTCTAGAGAACGTACTTGATGCAAGTACTTGATTACTTGCTACGTACTTGTCAATGATCGAAATACTTGCCTTATCGCTAAGAAGTACTTTCT